ACATGATGTGAATTGGAGCTATAGAAATAAACTGAATAGAATTGAATAGAATTGAACTGAATCCTATGCTTGAGGAAAACCAAGCCCCTCGTTCACCAACCTGTATGATCTTTGTCTTTGGTTCCTGCAGGGACTAGGACTCTCATTTCTCCGTCTGATACCTGTGAAATCTTCCTCTGACTCTACTTGGATCTTGGGTATATCAGCCAGCATGATGTAGTCGTCTATGGTCATCCCAACCTTTAAGTTACAATGGAAAGTGGACATTTAACATTTGTTGAAATGAAAATGACCAAATTAAAGAAATAATCCTGGTTTATTTACCTCTTCGGGGTCTACTATGGTCTTCTTCTGTTCCGGGAGCAACAGGGCATCCATTCCTCGCCTGACACTGCTATTGCTTCTGTCAGAACTGACCTTGATAATTGGGTCCACAGTGTCTGTTACCACACCTAGTGAAGGAGATTCACATACTGGCGAGTCCACTGACCATCCTGGCAGAGAACCTTGTGATGGAGGGCGGCTGAGTAAAGATTGGGAAACCTCCTGCCCAGAGCCATCTCCCTGGTTAGCATTAATGGTGTCTACAAAATATAATGGCGAAGCGCCCTGAGACTCGGCTCCCTGTCTGGCTGAAGAGGAAGCTTGTGACTGGGGGCGACTGAGTAAATTGTGTGAAGACCCCTGCCAAGCTTCAACCCCGTCATTAGCCTTATCAGAGTCTAAGACTGCCACATGTGTAGGTGATCCCACAAGATTATCGGAGCCTGCCCCGTCCCATCTGGATGATGGGGAACTATTCGATGATGGGAGATTCAGTAAAGAATGTGGAGACCCCTGCCAGGATCCTTGGGATTGACTCAACCTGTGGTCAGGCTCTCTTAGCGAGCCGTGACTCGGTAGACTGTAGGCCTTCCCGGATGCAGACACTTCTCGGCTATTGTAGGACAGAATGTTACCCAAACTGTTCACATGGGTTCTGCTTGGAGGAGACTCTAAAGATACTTCATATGAATTCTGCCTTTCTGCAGAAAAACAAAGACGAGAGATGGACTCAAGATTTCTGTAAAGTTTTTCAGAATCCAAACTGTGCTTGTTTGAAGCCTGTGACGGACTCCTGGACTCTCGACTGTACATCTTCTGGTCTTCATATTCAGGACTCTGTAACAGAACCGAATCTGTGCGTCTATGAGACGAGGCACTGTGAGAGGCCATGGACCATCTGCTGTGGGAAGGGCTGGATCCGCCAGACGTGCGGCGTGAAGGACCATTAGACTGAATTTGAAAGGAGTCTTTCAATGAGGAGCGAGACTGAGCCTGACTCCTACTGAGGGACCTCCCTCTCTGAGGTCCCACAGAAGCCGCTGGCATCCTGTAGCGGTCTGGACTCAAAGAGCTGTGACGCGATGGAGAGTTCTTCACAGAGTCAGTTCCTCGTCTGAAGTTGGAGTGGTACGTGTACCTCTGTGGGGACTCGCTTCTCCAAGTTGCCTGCATATATGTCTCTGGGTTTCGTCTTTGGGATGGCAGTCCAAGGCTTACATTCCGGTAGGGGACGCAGGCTTTGGGCTCAGGAATGTAGTTGCTTGGTAGGGGATGTCCTCTCTCATAATAGCGATAGGTACGCTTGGTGTCATCCTCCATCTGTTGCATTCCCACATCTGGAGAGAAGTAACCACTTTCTTTTTCCCTGCCACTTCTGGACTCTAAAAAAATCATACAAGCCTCTCATCATATTTTCTAACATGCAAAAGTGGCACATGGCAACCAAATGTTGTCAGGATAAAGGCATTGCACCGTGTTACAGACCTGAAGCACGGCGGGACATGTCTCTACCCCTCCTTTCTTCCATCCAGGAACTTTCAGTGTCTCTTGGGATGGAGGGGTGCAGTCGGGTCATTTCTGGTTGACCTGCAGGAGGCCTCTGAGGACTGAGGGATCGGTTCCTCTGCAGATCCTTCCACTGATTCAAAAAGCTGGAGAAAGACGCAATGCACCTCACAATGGCCTGCAAAAGTATTCAACCAACAACTTGGAAGATGTGTTATGTTTTTGTTTGGAGGCAAACAACAAACTTAAGTTGCATAACTGTTCGCTTAATGTAGTCACAGACATCCCAAGTCTCCCTGAAGTTCCGGGAGTCTCCCTGATATAGATAGTTGTTCATGGATGCCCACAAGTCGGATAAATTATCCCAGATTTTATACACTGTGGTGTTTTTTTCAATGCCAGTGAGAACGAACAGGCAATACAATCATTCATGCACCATGTGTGTATTAGAACTACTTAAACTGCGAAGACAACATAAGAGAGGGGGGTGTGGGGAGGAGATTGCTTGTGAAACCTGTCTGTCCAAAGCAATGCTCTGTTCCACCAGCATTCCAGGCGACAGGCTGTCAGAGAGTGCTGCTTGGTTTAGTCCAGTAAGTTTTGGTTTACTCTCTGGCTATGGGGCCAACATTGTTGCTTTATTATTTGCAAATGTGTGTGGAGAGTTGTGTATCTGTATCTAGATTTGTGTGCAGTGGGATTTGGAAATGTGTAGATCAAACTGTAAACAAACACAGAGACACTATGTCTGAAATATTTTCAGTTCAAGACCCAGAAATACAGACAAATCATTGGTTACCAGTCCAGCGGTTTCTCGGTTGGCTCTTAACAGACCTGATTTTTGCTACACTTCTGCCGCGTGAGATCCGCGAATGTGTAGATAGGATTTGTATGTGTAATCTGGATTTGCTGCCCTGAGCGCAGGCTCGCAGGTTGCCTCTTCCTGCTGTGGGAGTTCAGCACAAATTGCTGCACCTACACACACATACCACCAGGTGGCGGTATTGTACTCTACGTGACATTACTGCAGCAGGGCCGATTTCAATTCACCGGCCACTACGTACAGTGTTGCCAACTCAGCGACTTTGTCGCTATATTTAGCCACTTTTCAGACCTCTCCAGTAGAGACTGACATTCTTTCGGGAATCCCACGGGTCACGAGATTCCCGTGGGATGGGAGTCAGTATTAGTAACGATCACGTGATTGGGACGGTACAGGATTAAACATTAACGGGAGCAGACGGGAGCGGGAGCAAACCAACAGCAACTAAAAAAATTAGGATCGATGCCAAAAAAAAAATAAAATAGAAAGAAAAAAAATCCAGTACTGGCGCCGCCATTTTGTAGTTTTTTTCTGTGAAGCCTACACTATAATGCGAGTCAAAAAAACTACACGACCCAAAAACCAACAGTGCTTCTGCTCTGAGTTTTTCACCCGCGCTTAAAAACAACAAGAATGGGAGTGGTGCAGGAGCGGGAGTCATTCTGAATGGGAGCGGGATGGGAGTGGGAGTAATTTCTCCAGGAGTGGGACGGGACAGGATTTAGATTTCTACTCTGGCCAGGGATCGGGACGGGACACCATTTTTTTCTGTGGGAGTGGGACGGGACAGGAGTGAAAATCCACTCCCGTGTCAGTCTCTACTCTCCAGCGATTCTTTTTCAAAAAAGTGACTAGTGACAAATCTAGCAACTTTTCTGGTGTCACTGGCGGCTTTAAGCGACTCTTAGTAGCGACTCTTAGTAGAAAGCACGTATCGTTCCTACTCTTGTCCTCCAGCGGCAGGTGATGCCGTTGGGCGCCTCCCGCGTCCCAACCCCGTCCTCCCGCTCTGCAAGAGTCCTTCTCAGCGCTGCAGTCAGAGCCGCAGCATGTTTACCCTCAGCGTCCAGACTGACGGGATTGACTGAGCAGGTTGATCACGCTGGCGTCAGCTCCTTGACCAACATGACGATGATCCACTGTTTCTATGAGCAGGCAAGCACAGCCTGTGTGTGTGGAGGGAAATCTTATCAGTTTAAAAATAATATTAATTTTTTGCTCAGATTGTCATTGATTCTTTGTAGTCTTTTTTGTTCCATTTAGATTGTTAATGTTAATGTTAATGTAATGTAAAAAATGTTATGGTTCAAAATGTTCATGTTTTACCATGATTTGTAGGCTCTTTAATGGACCACAAGGGGAAAAACTCCACCATAGTGCCTCTTTATTCACTTTGCCGGTCCCAAGCCCGGGTAAACGAGGAGGGTTAGTATTGTAATAAAACAAACATTAATTTAAAAAAACCAAATAAATTAAATAAACATTAACGCATAGAAACAGTAGCTCTATATATTCTTAGTGTTTGACTCTCTCTAACCTTGTTATTTCTCCCAAAGCGCCATTAACACTCACATCACATCATGTGCCAGATTATGCAAATTAGGCAATGACATCATTCAGCGACTTCTAGCACAGCCAGTAGCTACTTTCCTTACTGAGGAGTAGGCAACACTGACTACACAGCAACTATGGTGACAGTCTGTGCTGCATAGTGGGTGATGCCAGCAGAGACTGACCCCTTAGTGGCAGCGGAGTGGCCGGTGAATTGAACTCCGCCCTGCTGCGGTAATGTCACGTACAGTACAATACCGCCACCTGGTGGTATGTGTGTGTAGGTGCAGCAAGTTGTGCTGAATTCCCGCTGCAGGAAGAGGCAGCGTGTGAGCCTGCACTCAGGGCAGCAAATAAAGATATTACACATACAAATCCTTTATGCATTTGCAGATCTCACACGGCAGAAGTGTAGCAAAAATCAGGTGTGTAAAGAGATCCAACCGAGAAACCGCTCGACTTGTAACCAATGATTTGTATGAATTTGTGTGTCTTGAAGTGAAAATACTTCAGACATAAATGTCTCTGTGTGCTTAAAGATTGAGCTACACATTTGCGAATTGCAATACATATTTGTAAATCTGAATACAGATTTTTTAATTTTTGACACATTTGCAAACCGGATTACACAAACAGTACTTTTACACATTTGCAGATTGTTTTACAGACACACAAATCTCCTCACACATTTTCATTTACACATTTTCAAATCCCACTGCACACAAATCTAGATACAGATACACAACTCTCCACACACATTTGCAAATAATAAAGCAACAGTTCTGGCTCCATATCTGGCAGTCACCTAATTACCACTCAAAGCAGTGCATCCTGGGAAACGGCAGAGGTTCAATCCTCCAGTAAAAAAACTAAATATAGGACTAATTTTACAGCAGAATATACTAAAGTAAATCCACGTCTAGAGAAGGGGAGGAACAGTGGCGGTTCTAGACCAAATGGACCAGGGGGCCAGGAGGGGGCCAGCGTGTTTCCATGGGGGCCCAGAAAAATAAAAATAAAACCAGGGAAAGAGATTCAAATATATTAACAGAGCTGCATGAAGGGAAATTTCTATTCAATTAGGTTCAATAAAAATTATATGTCTTATGAGGTTAATATACATTCATAATTTAGGAATTTTAGATATTTTTCACTTAATTTAAATAAACATTACAGTTTTCTATAAAATCTGAATTACAACTCAGGAAAAACTGTAGCTGTAAAGATTAGAGCATTTTTTTTATTTGTTTTGAAAAACAAACTTTTAGCAGATAAAAACTGGGATCCTATCTTAATCCCACTGAAACTATCACCTTATTGTATTTAAATAATTAGTAAAACTGAATATTTAAAGGACAAAAAAAGGAAATAGATCCAAAGGACCTATTAGTACCGATGTCTGTTCCAGCGCAGATCATCGTTAGAACTTCTTTGAGAGTTACGCCTTCAGTGCAGCGGCCATTACAGGGACAGGTTGGTTATTTTCCTTAGCATCTCCCTGAAATTAGTTTTTGGAACTTGGGATGTCGGTAGTCAGCACTTTGTAGAGCTTCCTCTTGTGGCAGTTAGAGCAGCAGGTTGCTTTAGTCTATGAGCTTTCCAATACTTTTCACCAGGAATTTCCCAGGGAACATTCTTAGTTTTAGCTCCTGAACTTTAAGTCTAACCACTGATTTTGAAATGGGTTGAGGTCTGGACTCTGACATGGGCACCTTTAAATGTTCCCCTTAAATCTCCTGAGTGTTGCTTTTACAGCATCCTTAGGGTAATTATCTAGTTTAAAGGTGAACTATGACAGCAATGTGTTTGCAGCAGATATATTGTTTTCCTTGGTGGTCAATAAGTTCAACTTTGGTCTGAATTCAAACACATCAATTTAATGAAGGACTCTTCATTAAAAGTGGATTAGCATCAGGATTGACCACAATGAATGCTGTCCGAATAGTGCATGCATTAAGGAAGGAGGTAGGAAAAGGAGTCTGTATGCTTCCTATTATAGTTCCTTTAGCATCACAGCCCATCTCATTCCAATCTGATGGATTTGGGTTCAGCCACAGTCTGCTTTGAATGGGGCACCTTTCTCCATACAGGCTCTTTGGTAAACTAAAAATGTTTCCTTCATTTCCAAACCAAGTGATGACCTTCCTAAGCCACTCTTCACTAAAGCCAAGTTCTATGCAATGGACACTTCTTCTGGCGCTCTGATTAATTACTTCTCATTACCCTGTCAGTGTGTTTTAGTGGCAGGGTTTGTTTTGGTACCAAATTGCAGAATCTCCACCATAGGAGGAGAGACCGGATCCCAAACTGAGCTTTGACCTTAAAAAAGAAACCTTTATATCTGACCTTAGGTCCCATCCCATTCTAAATCCAGTATGATTTAGTCCATCCTATAGCAGCTTCAACTCTTTTGGGAAGGCTGACCACCAGGTAAGCGTCTACTGGATATTTTATCCAGTACATGATAGAGTGATATAAGTTATTCTGGGCATCACAGCATCTCATTTACATGCAGAGTGTAAGGTGAACAGCATGAAGCAGCATGGAGAGGTCCTGCCTTGTTTCCCATCGTCTCATACTGAACTTCTGCGGCTTAATGAGGAGCGTCAACCAATCAGAAGACACTACATGTTAGCAGCAACTGCTTCTGCAGAGCTGCCGGCATCTAAAAAAGGATTATGTAACGTGGGGTTATACTCCGCTGGTATTTTTATCTGAACATGTACGCTTTGAAAGGTTTCCTTACAATTTCCATCGGAAGCATATGTTGCAGCTTTTGTGTTTCCTCGCTCCTCAAAGCAAATGAAGCCAAGCCGCTTTAGATGCAACCAAAGACCAGAACGGCTCAGCAACCAGAGCGACAAGGATCCCGAACTCTAAAGGCACCTTTTAAAAAGGCGATCATTGTGAACGCAGCACGTCTTTATGTGGGAAAGCCTAGTTATGGCATAAAAGCTTTGCCAAATGTTTCTATGGTGACTCCTGAATACAGAAAAACTGAAAAGGACACCAACGAAGGTCTAGACGTAAACTCTGTGCTCAAAGACGGATGATGGCTGACATCCGGGCTCTGAGCACCGCCGCACAGCCATGTTGGAAAAGGAAGGAGCCATATCCAAATAATAAAAACCCCACAGCATAATACCTCCTCCACCAAACTTTTGCTCCAACTATAGTTTGAAAGTTTTCGCTCTATTGTTACATTTCTACATCACAAAAACCTATATTACGGTGGTGTGTTCACTAGTGATATAAGTGTAGGTGAAGTCATTGAAATGCGTGACGGGTCACCTGGGTTGGATGTCAGCAGCTTCACGGTTCTCAGGTTCCCAGTCGGGACTCGGGCTGCGTTCCAGATTCCACTCAAAGTTCCAACCTTCACTGAAATCATCGCTGCTGCCGCATGTTGTCACCGCCGACGACGCTGGATCATCATCATCCTCATCTTCATCGCTCTTATTGTCCCCTTCAGCCTGGTTCGTTGGAATGATATCAATTATAAAACCAACTTCTGTGGCTAAACTGTTTAAAATAATAGAAAAACATCTCAGCATTTTTTAACCCAGCCTGATAGTCTCTAGTTGCATAGCTCTATATGAGGCTAAATACTCACTGTGATGAGTTTGGTCCTTTGTTATATCTGCTGCTCTGCTGCTTCTACCTTCGCCTCTCATTCACTCTGGTGTTGGAGCTAATTCACTTAGACACCAGAGGACGTAACTCAAGCTAGTCTGAGTTCAAACTCATCATTATTTCATTGCTCCGGTGCCTTTGCACGACCAGCAACGCCCATTTTTAGCTTTAAATTTCCTTCATCTCATCCTGAGTCTAAGAAACATAAATATTTCCTCTCATTGTACTTTCAGGGTCTCTTTATTTTACTGCTGATGATGCTGCAGGGGATGTTTGCATCATCAGCTTGTCATCCGTTCCCTGAAGGCTGCAACAAGCTTTCATTAATTAATGATAAAATCATCAAATGCTATGGTGTCCATCTCTCTCCATCTGCTACGTACGTCCTGGCCAGCCAGGGTTCCCCCCCCTTTTTGTTTTTGGATGCACAGGATGGGTGGCCTGCCGGTGCTGGGGCCGTCATTTCTGCTCTCCCCAAAGGAGGGTGGAGGGAGGGGCAAATGGGGTATTGAGGCGTAGGAAGTGGCCCTGTGAATTATTTTTGGGGGGGGTTGGGGGATTCTGGTTGGGTGGCCTGTGCGGGAGAAGTGGGCTCCGTTCTGGTGGGGGGGCTTCTGCTGGGGGTTGTCTGGTTCGGGTGCGGGGTGGGGGGGCAGGCTCGAAGCAGGAACTAGATGAGTTAGTATGGCGGTGACACCGCTCCCCCCCCCCATGGTGCACTGGTGGATGCCCAGGCAGACACTGGCTTATTCCTGGCGACTGTCCCCCGGGGCCTGGCCAGGGCTCCCACTGGGGGGTGGGGCCTTTGTTCTTTGGGTCCCTCTGAGTGTCTGGGGCTTTGGGTCCCCCGGCGGTTCAGCAATAGTATCTAGGTGTTACTTGTTGTATCTTTTACACTATATCTGTTGGTTGTGCTGTCCTTCTTCCATCTCTTTGCAGGTGATGAAGCAGACTGAAGATATTTTATCATTATCTCCCTTTTATCTCCTCTTTCTTTCATCTTTTTTCCTGTTTTTCCTTTCCTGTTCTACTTCCATTGCAGTGTCCATATAATCTCTAAGACTCCATGCATGAATTATAATAAAGCTATTTATATGCATAAATCAGGCTGATCACTATGGCGATAGCCATACTGCTCCACTTGTGAAAGTAAAATCTGTTGGGCTCTTTTTGGCATCAAGACAATTATTCTTATTGGAACATCGCCAGACAGGACACTAAAAGAAAAAAAAAAAAAAAGATCATCTGCTGTTCAGGGGCGGAGCTAGATGGGGGGGCCAGGGTGACCCTTAGCCAATCATTGGCCACCCCTGTGGCCACCCCAACCATTTTTTTCCTCTAACACAGATGGTGGCAACAGTCAGAACTACATTTTAAGTTATATGGGGTAAAGAGAAAACGAGTAACTATTTTAATAAAAACATATTAAATATTCCATTTATGTAGATATTAGTAGAGCAAATATCGCTCCACAGGCCTGCGGGAGTCCTTCCTAGTCTGGAAAAATAGTTTACTGC